TGATTATATGATTATCTATTTCTATCATATTCAATTTCTTTCTCCATCATTCTATAATCTATCTTCTTTGTCTCTTTCTGATTCTATGTATTTCTTTGATATTCATCTCTATATATGATTCAACGAATATTATCTATCTATCAAATTCTTCATTTCTTTTTTATTAATTGATCGTCTGTGTATTTATTTCATATTTATTCATTGATAGATTCTCTATCTTCAGTTTTTTTGGGAAATGACGATAAATATTAGATTATTCTTCGAGATCTTCTAATTATCCTATTTCTTCTCTTATATATAATAGATGATCTATATTAGAAATATTCTGAAGAAGATTCTTATTACTTCTCATTTCAGATATATTACGATCATTTTTCAGATCTTATATATATTCTATATCTTGAAAATCATTCTTTATATTGAAATAGATATTCATATAATAGAGAGGCATTAGGAAAACATAGATATCTAATTGAATAATATAAATGGGGGATAGAATCCGATAGATAGAGAGATAATTTAATATCTAGAGATTTCTTAATATGCGAAAAAAGCTAGAGATCAAATAACAAATAATTGAAATAGATAGTAGATAGATAGATAAATAAAGAATTCATAATGAAATATATAAAGAAATAAATAAATATCGATTGATAGATAGAAATAGTATCAATGATTCAATGATTCAATCGAATCAATGATTCCATAATTCAACACTTCAATGCATTAATGAATCAATGATTCAATGAATCAATGATTCAATTCATTTCTATAAAGACACAATCATTGATTCAATGATCTAATGAATAGATAATTCAATGATTTCATCGTCTTTTACGAAAAAAAATCGATATTTCGAAATTCACGTTCAGATCTCTTAATTCAATGAGACATCTTAAGATATTTTATCTATATCTATTATCTAATTATAGATAGGATATATATATCAAAACTAATAATATAAATGAATAGTATCCCTATATGATAATATAGATTTATTCGAAGATCTCTATATTATATAATTATCTTGATTATATCTTCCAAATAGATGAATAATATTTAAATTTCTTTAGAATATATCTATTTATTAAATGATATGATATATTAGGAATGCCTCTCATTTATTTCAAAACGAATATCAAAATTCTTATATTCTTCATTTAAAAATTTACATATTTTCATTGATTAGCGTATAATATCAAAGAGATTATCATATCTGTTCTTGAAGAGAAAGATATATATTTTCTAAAGAAAATAAAATTGATATTAAATACGATCTTATATATAATATATTCTATGAAATAAGAAATACGTTCTGGAAATTCAATTTAAATTTCATATTTAAAGATCTCATCAAGAATAATCTCATATTCTCCAATCATGAAATCAAGAATGATGCAGAGATAAGATGAATCCGAAGATCCGAGAAATATAGAATATCTATAATATACGATATCTATATATATATATATATAGAAAAAGATGCTACGGATCCAAGATTTCAGAATTTATCTCAATATTACGCCGCGGCCATTTGCTACCATTTCGACCGCGCGCGGCCTAGCCTTTCCGGCTCACCTCTAAAATGCCTCCTGCGGGCTCCCTAGGGGCTCTAAAATCTCGGAGATTTTAGAGTCCTTCAGAAAAGCTAGAAGCTCTAAAATCTCCGAGATTGTTGGCGCGGGCAACGCGACCAAAAATCTCGGAGATTTTTGGTCGCGCGGCCCTTCTCCCCGGAGCGATTTTCCGCTGCCTGCGTGGCTATTCGGCGGAATGCGCAAATTCGGGATGGCCGCGTTTGCCTGCGTTCTGCCGATCCGCCGCGCAACATTTAGCCCAATAGAGATAACGAAACGGAAATTCCGGGCTGGAGACTTGGGACCGCAAGAATAAAATTCTCCCGAGATTTCGATTCATTTCTCTCTCTTTGGTTATCTGAAGTCCTTGTCCCCCCCCCCCAGAGCGGTCTTCCGCGCCGCGTGATTCATCTCTCTTTGATTATATGCGTAGCTAGTCAGCGAGGGGGCATTGACGGGAAAACGATACCCAGACGTATTCAGGATGGGAGGGGCGCCCGGCTTGGGCCAGCGGAATTTATATTTATCATTGAGATTAAGGATGACCTGATTTCTCCTAGGCAAGCAGGTCCCTTCAAAATTACAAGAATTTGACGAAACAGGGCTACGTCACGATTCAGATTTCAAATCGAAATTAGAATTGAACATATCCGTAGAGGATTATATACATCTCTATATATAGAATGGGCGATAGAAATAGACCGCAATAGATCGTCTAGGAAAAAATCATCAATTCTGAGATATCTCTGCAAATCCTTAGATTCCAATTTATAAATTCGTCCTATCAAGAATGCCTCGAGATAAACCCCTGCTTCTTAGAAGAATAATTAGATAGATATGGCAATACCTCCAAATACGCAATGCCCTCAATTATTGCGAACCTGCCTTCAATTTCAAATTATCAACGCATATACAAGATGCGGGATATCAAATTACGAAGAAATAAGATTTGAAATCCTATATATAGATAATTTGTCGTTACGCGTCATTCGAATGATAAAATTCCATTATTATAAGCAACGAATCCATTTTAATCTTTTCAGAATTTATAATTTATATATATATAAAATAGTTAATATAGAGAAGAAAGAATCACCTTAGATTTGAGAATTATCCTTTTCAATTTTGCAAGAAGATAATTATATTTATTCAAATTCAAATATCTAAATATTCTAGGAAAAGAAATTCAAATTTTCTCTCCTTTCATTCTAATATATATTTCAATTTTGTTTAAAGAAAATAAGAAAGATATAAATATCAAGATAAAAATATTAAATTTTCTTTTTTAATATTAAAAATAATTCTTAGAACATCTATCCTAAAGAGAAATTTCGATTCTTAGATAAATAAATAGAATTCATAATCTATATATAATAATAATATAGAAAGTCAATAGTTAAGAATATTCAAGAATTAATATTTCAAATCTATAATTCAAGATTCCCAATCCAATCCTATGCAAATCTCGAAGCTATTCGATATTTGAAATATAAATAGATGAAAATTAAATGAAGAAATTTATAAATCTTATAGAAATTAATGATATCTAAAAAGAAATCAAATAATAGAAAAATGCAATATAAATAGAATTTCATCATCAATATATTTTCTTACTTCAATTTTAAGATTCTCATACGATCTTTTCGATCAAATAATTTTCTACATATTCTTTTTTAATCCATCTCTTTTAGAATATATCTTGCAATCAACGTAATTAATCTAATATCCTCAAGATAAAATCAATTGATTCTTTTATATAGTCCCAAAGTTTCTTTATATGTCATTAGAGATTCTTTTTAAGATATTTCATTTCGTATAAAATTTCAGATTTACGATTATTATCTAATATCAAATTGAATCTTTTCTCCTAAGCTACTATATGACGAATTCGATTCCATTTTCTTCTCTTTTAAGAAAACGCGATCTTTTCTTTCAATGAAATGAAATGATTTTTATTCTGTAATTCTATTCTTTTCTCTCTTCTGAAATATTATTGAATATCGGAATATATTATTTGATATGATAGAAATCTTTCGTGCTCAATCTTTGCAAAATTATTAATGATTCTTCATTTCGATTTTTAATGTAGACGATTCGGGTCATATTCTATTGGGTATTGATAATTTTTATCTTTCATTCATATTTATTTTATTTACGAATTATTTGAATTAAGAATTTCCCAAAAATCTAATCTTTTTGGGAAAATCAAGCCCACGTCTCATCTTCATGATCTTGGGTCCATGGTTGCAGGAGATCATCTTGCATCTCTTCGACCTGATGTCATGGGGGCGGCTATGAAATCGTATGAATTCCAAAGGTTTTGCCCTGCGCATCTCGCACTAGGAGCATGCTCTGAAGTAGTGTCAGCTCTCCCATCCAGCTAGGACTAACTCCACGAAGGCAGTATGGCATTGAGCAGCTTATGCAGGAAAATCACCAGGCGACCAGCTCCTGTGCGACATTAGGAAACTCACGTCTCCATCAAACTCAGCGATTGTTGTAATCATCTTGCAAATTGGAAACGAACATGGTCTGACTTGGCATGGTATGCAGCAAATTTCAGCGCAAATGATACAATCTTTAAAATCCAATGGACATGCCGATGCCACCCCTTCACATGCTTGTGGCTGTGCACTCGAGCAAAGTCTGGAGTTGGTTTCTTCTACTGAGAAATGCGGACCATGCTGCTGCTGGTCCGCAAGGCTCTCAAAAAAGGCACCTGCCGATACTTTCATGAGCACGCCCTACCAACCGCCAGCCTGGACTAATCGCAGCACTGGATGCACATCTGGGCTCTCATACAATGGAGCCTCATTCTTGCTAGCTGTCATTTCAAGAATGAACAGGACCAGATGCTGCGACATTGTACGCCAATTACGATTCTCGAATAGTGGCACTTGAGTGTGGTTTGCGTGGCCAAGCATTCCTTGTGTTCCAGGCATTTATAATATCACCGGCCCGTGGATGCTTCTCACACAACCGGCCAAACTGAGATTTCAAGCGCAAGCACAAGTTTACGAAACGTTAAACCGTTAGACCAAGCAACAACTACCCTTGGGCAACCTGCCAATCCATCTGCACCAGCGCGGGAAAAAAGGCAAGCGAACAATTTCGACTAACGTGAGCCGACAACAGACAGGAACGAAAGAAACCATAACCAGTTCATACCAGTTCTCCGAGTGCGACGCGGGTGGATCTCCTCGATCGTGGAAGGTCACCTTCGCGCACTCATTGGGTGGCTCGTGAAGCAATGAAGCAATTGAAAGCCAAGGCATCTCTAAGCAGTCTGCTAAACGTTCCGACCAAAATCTGCCATTCTCGCAGTAAGGGTCCTGCGTCCTCTGACAGCTCCGCGCTGAGCTGTGCCTCTCGCATCCGCCAAATCTTTGAAGTTGGCCTTTGCTGAATGCAGTGTCTTTTGGCCTCTGCTGCGTCGAGCTCATCTGCAGTTTGCTCGTCGAGCAAGTGTAGCTGCCGCGTACTTCTGCAGGATGAAATTGCGATAGTGCTCGCTGAGCCCGGGAGTGGAAATGGCGCTGGGGTTTCAGGGATGTCATCAAGTACCATGTCTTGAAGGTCGGTGAAATCAGTGTCAGTTTGCCTGGGTAAAAAATTTCGTGGGGCAAGGGTGGTGTCCGGGGCAGTGCATGCGAGTGTGCCGGTCATTTTGCGAGTTGGCATGGACTTGGCTGTCTGTGCGGCCTCAGCCTCTAATGATACTGGTTGAATTCGAACATGAGCCACCTTCTGCATGGACTTAGGCAAGGGCCTAGGCATTGCCTTGGGCGGAGGCTTGAGCGGTGCAGAATGTGGTGGCAAGGGTGGAGCAGGTGGCAAAAGGATCGGCTTTAGGGAAGGCATTCCGATGGCAGCCGGTAGCTCTGTGGCTTCCGCTTGGCTGGGTCGAAGCTCCTGAAAGCAAGCTCTCTGACTGGTGACATGTGGGAAGAAACTGCCAGACATGGACCTCGCCATTCTTCAGACGCTCATAAATCCGGAGTGCGAGGCTGCCTCAAAACAAGCTGCATGGAACAACTTGCGCTTGCAATACGTCAAGGAGATGCCAGTGTGTGTATTCGAAGACGAATGTATCCCCAAAACAATTTGACCACGTCATGCGCAAGAGTCTTTTCCACATCTTCAAATTAATCTGTAATTCCGTCTTGTGCTTTACAAGCTCAGGACGGCCATCCAGTACAAATTTGCAAGAACGTAAGGTCGGTGCCGATGCTTTTGCGTTCCTCAGTGCAGGATGAAGTCAAGTCTGCTGTCAATTTACCGGTTGCATTGCAAAGGCACTCAGCTACTTTTGTGGGCTGGTATTTAATTCAGCTAGGCTCCTTCACTGTGCGTTCCATGGCCCATTTTATGGATTCTGCGGGCTTGGCTATGAGAAACTGGTTGGCGGATCCCTGCAATGTGTTGCTGAGCCCCTAAGTATGTGACAAAAGGGAAGGCGCCATGCATTCCTAGTCTTCAAGTCTGATTGGTGGATTAGCCGCACAAACAGGACAACCTGTTCCATACTATGCCTTCCCATTCGTTTCTTCAAGTATGCAACAGGAGAGCATTGACTGAGCACCAGACGCCTGCAACAGATTGCTGCCGCTCGTCCACACAACTCTGCTGTGGTGGAAAGCCCTGCTCAGTTGAAGGCCCTTCAGGCCAGTGCTGTTGATCTGACCATTGGTTCTCCGGCCACTCCTGCCTGTCTTGCCAGTCATGCTCGTCTTGCCACTTGCGCTCATCTTGCCAGCCCTGCTTGCGCCTCCACTGATGGTCACGCCAATTCTGCTTGCTGCGCCAGTGTTGCTTGTCACCCCAGCTTTGTGCTTGCCAGGATTGGTTCTTGGACCAGGGCTCATCTTGCCAGAGCTCTTGCGTCTCTTGTTGCTCATGTTCATTCTCCTGATCATGTCTCTGCTCTTCCCTGAGGTCTTCATGTTGGTCCTCATCATGCCAAACGTCTTGCTGGCCTGGATATAGCTCTTCGTCCGATTGAACTAGCTCATGTGGCTGCTGAAGCTTCTGCCGCCGTTGCAGCAAAAACGGTGGAGGATCCGTCGGAGGCTCCGGTACAGGTTGCGATGGTGGGTTTGTACGTCGTGGCGGGGGACGAGCAGGCGGAACTGTCTGCAATCGCTGCAGCAGCAGTGGAGTCTGCGGGGGCGGCGGTGGTTGAGGTGGCTTGGGTGGAGGTGGAGGAAGAGATGTCGATGCCTGAGGAACACTTGCGCTACTTGACTGTAACCCAAATGTAGCTCGCAAGCCAATCAGCTGATATCCATGCATGTGAGACTTCTGGCCTGTGGCACGCTGTTCACTAGCTGCTGCTGGAAACCTGCCCGGATCGATTGAGGTCATCACCCCTGCTCGTTTGCAGCTACCTGTCGTCGACCGAATCATCCTGAACATGCCCAGCCTTCGGAGAACACAGATTTCTGGCGATCTGTACCTCCGTGGTCGGCAACAGGAAACCTACCTTAGCTGATGTGCTCGGGATGCATTAAAGCCACATGAGAAAAAAGGCAACAAAGCTTCGCAAGCCTAGCTCATCTGTAAGCTTTCGGCTAGCTTCACTTCTGTCAACCTGATTGGTACACAGCTCATATCAAACACATGCCGAGCCTTGAGGGTGCTTACTGCGTCAGCTTTGCTCATCTCGAGCTTCAGCCACTGTAAGTTGCCAGCATTGGGCGATGGCGGCAACAGCTGCTGTGGCTGCAAGATTTGCGGTAGGGCCGGAAGTGGTGCCGCTGCAGTAGCTGCAACTGTCGAAACGGCTGATGGCGACAAAATAGGTACCTTAAATCAGCTCTTGCAAGGATGGCGTTCTCTCTTGCAGCAAGGTCTGGGTGCATGGCCGCCTGCCAAGCGTTGGTCTGCAGAACACTTTCCATTGGCGTGTCGGGACCTGACCACCACGGTTTTCCCTACTCGTCGCAGGAACCTGACTGCTGGGCGAATTGATCTACCCTGCTCTGGTTATCTTAGCTCTGATAGTCTGTACCTTTAACGCTGCCTTGTCTCCAAACAGAAGTTGATGGTGGGTAGGCGCCGCCGTTAGCGATGGCTGCAGCCGCCGCTTCTATGGCCATGGCCTCCGGACTTGTGCTGTTGACAAAGCAGCTTGACTGGGAAACATATTTTGACATCTCTGTAGGACCAGCTAGTTCGCAAACTGGGAAACACTCAAAACTCCCCAAAATGATTGCAGCACACGCTCCTCATCATTGAAGTCGGGTGCAAGAATTGGGCAAAACCCCTGGCGACGTCCTGTGAGGTTCCTTCACTTCAGTAAACCCTATCGATAAGGCTAAATTAATTGAGTTGACTTCGACGTTCGTTGGGTGCCAAAGCCAGCAACTAAAAAGCTCGGCGGAAATTCTTTGTGGCTCAAGACATCAAAGGCTGCTACAGATTTCGGCGAGGACAACAAAACAACTTGATGTTGCATTGCTTTGCTTTCTACTGAAAATCAGCTTCAAAGCTTTTCTCTTTGTGATGGATTATTCTTTTCCATGTTGGTAGGAGGCCTAGGCTGGGCTTGTTAAAGGGGGCCTGGCCTTTGGCTCAAGTGAAGATACGACTCCAGAAAGGAACTCTAGTTTCGCGAAGGCAGGTTTTTGAATGACTTGGGAAATGATCCCCAGTCCTGTACTTCATGCATCTACATCAATCATGCCAGTCCATGAACAATTAAGGATCAAACTCAATGGAAAACTAATGAAACAAAGAACAAAGCACGACTTTTTGATTTAGTATGGACCTCTTATCAATTCTGAGCCAATCCTGGACTTTCACATCACGATTCCAAAAGCACAGGTGCAATGTATCAAGCGCTGCATAGGGTTCTGAAGAACGTAACCTGAAATGCATGGAGGGCAGATAGGGCGGGGCTTGACAGTCAGGATTTGTCGGAGCCATGGCCTGTGCTGCCGCACCATCAGCATCCCGGTCGTGCCGCTTCAAAGCACGCGCTCGACGTACAGCTTCCATTTCCTACACTGGTAGGTAGTTGGTGCTGAAAGGCGTTGACGCTACGGTAGTAGCGCAAAGCCCCGACAAAAGATTTAGCGTTACATAGTGCCTATTCCGACATGCTGCAGCCTATCTAGCTTCGTGCAAGCAAGGCTTCTGACTGCGCGGCAGTATCAAGGGGCTTGGGAGGTGGCGGCGGTGGCGGTGGGGCTGGGAGTGTGGGCATGGGAGCTGGCATTGGCATTGAGGCTGAGGCAGGCAGCGCTGCCGGAGCTGTTGCAGGCTCCAGGGCGGTGGCACTGCTTTCTGTTATCGGCGCGGGTTCGATCTCGTCCATGATCTGGTAAGGATCCTCTCGAGTGGTAAGGTGAGTGTGTGGTCGAATGCACATTCTTCTGAATTGTGCAAGCCAACACAGGCAGAATGGTACGCATATGCCTAAGCACCACACTGTAACATCGAGATATCCAAAAGCGGTGTCCTCTACCGCCATCTCCTCGACTTCCAGGCTGCGGCTACCTAAGCGCATGAACGCAATCGACTTCCACGCGAGATGTAAAGAAGGCATCACGCCAGCTTCCTCTCATCCATATGCCAAGCGCAACTGGTCACATCTGAGCATGTCTTAGGCCTCAACGTGACCGCGAGCGCTTCGATGCCCCAGGCGCAGGTGATGCAAGTGTTGGCAGCTGTGGCATGGGTGGCTCTGGTGCCGGAGGCAGCCCTGCGGTCTTTGGGTAAGAGCTGTCTGGCGGCGCTTTCGGCGGCTGTTGCGCATGCCTCAAGCCAATGCAGAGCTCTGCGACGACTACCAGGTCTGCCAGGTAAAAAGCTAAAATGATTGGCTCGCTGGGACTCTGGCAATCCTCGCTGCTTGGAATAGTATGCAGCCCACTGCTGCTGAAGTAGAACTTGCCTGGTCAGCATGGTGCATCAGAAAGGCTACTGGACAGTTGTGGGAGGTGTCTCAATGGGTCCGAAATTATTTGTGTTTTTTTGTTTTATTTGGTTTTTTTTTTTGCTTTCATCCTTTCAGAGTAATCCAATCTAAAGCATTTTGGCTCGCGCAGAAGCTGCAGATGTTAAATTACAGCATTCGGAGGTCATCTAGCTTGCAGATACTGTAAAGTATAGCACTTGGAGCGCACCGAGAGCCTGTAGCCAGATTTACAGCGTTTGAAGCTTGAGAGCGTGCAAATACGGTGAATGACAGCAAATGAAAGCTTTAGAGCTTGCAGATACTGCAAACCATTGTAAATCACAGGACGCCAGCTCAGATTTTTTGGGGCTTGCCGATGTATGCTGTACATTACAGCATTCGTAGCCTTGCAAAGGACGTAGACACTGCGACTTGCAGTACTCAGAGAGAGGTTCATTCGCACAGTTGGGTGGCGTAGCGCCCCCTTTGCACACAATATGATCCGCTTAATCCTCCCTTGCCTTCGTTTACGGCACACATGACGACATTTTTTATGCCGTAAGCATTGATGGCTTCAACAAGCAGGGGATTGGCGGGCGCAGCCGCCCCATTTGCACTCCATTTGCCAAAAAATGGATCCGAACAAGATTGCCCTATTGCAAAGATGGTGATGACATGATTATGGCAGGCATGGATGCGTTCGACATGCATCAACAAAGCAGAGGGCTTTGGGGGACAGCAGTCCCCCCATTTGCAAAAAAATCATCCGCACAACCATCCGTTACTGCAAACATGCTGATGACATGATGCTTGCTTTTTATTCCAAGCATGTATGGCCATGTGTGGTCTTAAGAAGGTGGGCCTGGGGGGACTGGGGAGGGGTCTGCGCCTCCCATTTGCAAACAAAATGATCTGCAAAACGATGTGAAACATGATTTTTTAGCGGTTTTAGCGCATGCAGGATGGGGTGGCAGCCCCCCATTTGCAAAAAAAAATGATCGTTCCTCTACGGCAAACATGGTGATGACACGCCGTAAGCATGAATGGCTTTACCAAAGCGGGGGCTGGCAGGGGAGGGGGGCCCTCTTATTTGCAAACAAAATAATCCGCACAACCATCCCCTACTGCAAGCATGGTGATGACATGATTTGTTTATCGTAAGCATGGATGTCTCGAAAAAAAGCGGAGGGGGTGGTGCAGGCCCCCCATTTGCAAACAACATGATCCGCACAACCTTGCCCGACCTCATACATTGCAATGACATGTGTTTCGCCGTAAGCATGGATGGCTTTCCACTGGTGGCAGCTTTGCTGTTTCTCGGTTGCATCTCAGTAGATATTTTGAACAAGTAAACTGCCACTTCGACTCAGCAAGTGCGGCAAGGCAAGCAAAAGTAGGACGCGAAACTACCCTATGTTGGGGGTCGCTGTGCACCCACAGCCATCTACCACAGTGCATCCCCGGAAGTGGCAGCTTTGCTGAAAGTGTGTTGGTTGGTGGCATCTCACATGGTATTCTGAACGCGAGAGGTTCAAGTAATCGTGAACCATAAAGCCCCCAAGAAGCCAAATTCTAACTTCCAGCATCCCCACCCTGTCCCGAAGTTGACCACCCACATATCTGTTAAGGTCGATTTCAGCAAACGCGAAGGTGTTGTGCAGATCCATGGATATGTGGACTGTATTGCAAGCCTTCGGAATGCTAGGCTTCCATTGAAGGTCGACAGTTGCGACAAAAGCCTTTCTTGCAGTTCAGCATGGTAATTTTCCGATATGCGATCATTGCGCCTCAGCATAAGCAAGTCGTGAAGGCGGTTTTTTGCTCTGAAAAAATCAAATTCTCAAATGTTATTCAGAAGCCGAGAGGTTCTTGAGAGGTGCTGCAGAGAAAAGAAGACCTGTAAAATGGGAGGTCCGAACTTTATACATTAGTGGGAAGTCTTGGACAAACCCACATTCCTTAAGATTCCTGAACATTCCAGACTATTCTAGAGTATTCTAGACTGGCAGGGGGTTCTGCGGTGATTCTGTGTTCTGGGAAGGTTTACACCAAAAGTGTCCACATCTAGGATGTGGTCATTTTTGGTGGAGGAGGCAAGGGGACTGTAAAATGGAGGGTCTCAGGCTAGGCGGTCTGTAAAATTCGGGCGTCCCAGGATCAGGGATTTGTAAAGTGGGGGGCTTTAGGCTGGGCTTCCGAACTTTACATTAATGGGAAATCTTGGACATAGAATATATTTCCGTGTTCCCTACTAACCACCAGCAAGCCCAACGTGTGACAACGGAGATGAGCTGCTGCATCACCTGCATGCTTGAAACAACGCAAGAACATGGCTACTGTAAAATGGGGGTACCCGCCCTGGAAGGTCTGTAAAGTGGGGGGGCACCGAGATCCCTACAGACTACTGTAAACCACAGGCTAGTAAAATGGAAGGGCCTACACCTAGAAGGTCTGTAAAATGAGG